AGCTGGGCCCGTGGTAGGACATTGTTCCCTGCTTTGTTTTTGTTTTGCCGTCGCGATCCGAATGTAATTCAATATTTCTGCAGAATTTACGTTTATCGCGCCAACTGCCATACCACGAAGTACTACTATAGATTTGCAGCAACAACGGGAATTCCCAACAAGAAAATGTGACCTTCTTGTCTTTCTGATTCATGCCTCATCCTTACCATAATTGGGTTGTTCGGAAAAATTCCGCCGCTTTCTGTTGCTCAATTTCAATGTTTTATTTATTAGCTGGCTTCAAGAAGCTCCTAAAATTTCATATATCACTAGGAAGCGCGTTTTTCGTTTCATCCACATGTGTCTTTTTACGCTGGAGAATTCCCCCCCCCCTTTTTTTTCGATGTCTTGAACACAACAGTCAACAGGCCATTTTGTACGAGATTCTTGTTCCCACTCAAATTTGGCCGGAAGAGTACGGAAGCAAATTGCGCTACCATCTAACATGAAGTCCCGAATCCACTAAAAATATTGGTCCTATTTTGAATAACTGCTGTGTAGCTGTTATTCAAAATGGGACCAATATTTGAAATGTCTTCCTCGCGCTGGCGGAAAGCCTCGAAGGAGATCAGGGTGATGCTCGTTATCGGAAACTCACAAAAATTAACTAGGGTTTGACCATGGTTTGCGCATGGTACTACTGAGAAGGTCGCTCATGAATAAAGCCTAACCGATGGGGTTCCCAAGTCCACAGGTGAAGTGGAAAGTCGAAGAGAAAGTCGACAAGTAGGTGCCGCCGACTCTCTACCAGGGTCAACCGTCCGTTCGTACTATCCGAACGAGGGGGTCACGTTTGTGGTTTTTGGAAGAGGGCCGCATTTGTCTGCTGATCAAGGTTATCGAAAAGTGATGAGATTTAGGCCAAATTGCTGGATTCGCCGCTTCATGATATCAATATACCCCTCCTCGACAGTCGTCGTTTTGGAGGGAAAAGTGGGCGGAGTTGTGCAGTGTCGACTGGCCCCAGAAATGATATACTGTAGAAACAGTCATTATGGTAATTTTGGTGGTCGCAGAAGGGGGAAGGGGGATCGTATTGGGAGAGCCTTCCAAGACTGAAGGTGGTGGTGTCCCGTCGAGACCCTCCAAAGGAGATTTTTGAGAAAGTGCGAACGTCAGTTATCTTGACCTTTACCCACTACCGCGCAGCCTCATACCTCATCTCTGCAAAAGTTGAACTAGCTGAGCCACGAAGTTGTGCTGCAAACATTTCACGCAGTACACCTATTGGCTACAGAATGCAATTCTTCCAACCATCGGGAAGCTCTTTTTGAAGAGATTGAGCCTCAAAACCCAACTAGATGGTGAAATGACCTTCACGGAGAGCTTCGCCTAAAGAACTCCACACTTTCAACATCCGGGTCAATTAGATTCTCTTTTTGTTGGCAAAGGTATGGAACGTAACAGTTTTTATTGCAATAAAAAATGCTTTATTCAAACCGAGATATGAATTTCGGGCTCAAAATCGGCGGAAACTTTCTGAACAACTCAATATTAATGCTCAGAACTCTTTGGCAAAATGCTTTTTCGACTGCCCCACCCAACCACGTTAGCGCCTGTAAGTTTTTATTAAATTGAAGGTTTTCCGTTGAAAACGAGATGTGCTCATTTGAAGCTCACGATCAGAATCGGTGGAACTCTCCGACTGACCCAAAACATCCTAATGGAGCGTTCATAGTTGGCAATCGTCGGTGCGATTAGTCGATTAGGCGATTAGGCGATCAAGCGAGTAGTC